ACGGACTCAGGAACCTACACGTCTTTAAATTAACCACGCGCAGGGAATGCGAGCCATCTCTCTCAGAGCTCATGAAGCTTCTTCAATCTTTACCGAAGCTAGAAGAATTTCGTTTCCAGGGTTATCTCCGACCGCCCGAGAACGGTAGCAACCCCAGTCCCCCATCGCACGACCCCGTAACTCTTCCGCATCTGAAACGCCTGGCTATTCAAACAGAATGGTCGGCTGAAGTTATAGACATATCAAGCTGCCTCCGCGCTCCAGCTTGCCAGGACATAGCCCTGGAAGGTGATCTGATGGGAGATGACCTTTCAGTGCTTTCAAGCACCCTTGCCAGAGCCGTTGGCCACTTTATTCCAATCATCCGCTCAAGCTGGGTCCCAGGTGAACGTTTAATAGTCCTGGCTGACACCGATTCGACCCGCCTCCTCACTTCCAACATCAAGCTAACCATTTCCGGCGACATCAGTATCGCAATACCGCATTGGTTGATGGACAATGTCCCAAATAAGGAATCAGAAATAGCATTGGATATCAGACTGTCCAGTGACTCCGCAGAGCAGCTCGTTTCGCTGGTCTCTCTCAGGCCACTTCTCTGCCTCACACGATTGGTTCTCTCGGGGGCGGACGACGGAGGATCCTCAGTAATCCAATACCTCTCCAAGCCGGCTTTAGCAGTGGACCAGCCATATAAATGGCCTCTTCCTCGCTTATCAAGCATTGTCATTAGGTGCTACGAGGGTTGCCTCGCTAGCCTCTCATCCATGCTACGAGTTCGAGCAAATGAAGTTGGCCACGGGAACGTCACCCGACCAGTCTCGCTCAAAACGCTGGAAATAAAAGCCTATGGCAAGAACCAGGCGGGCGGCGAAGGCCTTAAATTAGAACTTGAAAGCTTGATGAAAGGAATGGGAGGATCATTAACGTGTTTGGATGACTAGTGATCATTCCTCGTAGTGCGGTTCGAATTTACACACCTCATCTTTCTGTGGAAATACTTTTCATTCTCCTAAATATGTAGCTCGGATGCATGTGTGTTGTTGGGTAAGTATTACTGTTGCCCCTAAAGTACTGTTTGCAGACACTCCCGTTATTCAATGAACCCGAGCTTGTACCATTTTACGTTTGCTCGTGGTTATTCTGCACCGCGGTGTACTCCAGCTTCCAATAGGTTTGAGCACGTGGGAGCTTCCATCAAGACTCTCCGGAGTTGCTGGAGACTGCCCCAACACCCACCTCTACGTGGGCAAGAGCTTAGAAGCTCTAACCGACGCAGATCAACGATAGAACTCACGAATGCTTCCCATATCAATCTTTGAGATGCACGAAGTAAATCTGATTGAAGGGATATTTAGAGGGGAGGCTCAAAAGGGGGGGGTCGAACCCACAACCCTTTTAAACTCCAAACATCCCCGTGATGTACAGTCGTACCGAGCAACAAGTCGTTTCTAGGTCTGAGTTATTGCTGCTGGCAAGACCTACCATATCGGCAAGTAAAGGGGAAACAGCGTTAGAAATAGGACCGGGAGCGGAAACAGGAACAGACACGCAAGAAAAATGTATTGCGAGAAGACGATCAGTATTGGCTGACATCAGAGAGGATGATTAAAGAACGCTTAACAGTAAAATGTATCCAACCGAGCCCAGAAATACATAAAACCAATGACAAAGAGCATGTAGCATCTGACGCAAAAGTGATTACTGCTGACAAGACCCAACGCGCTTACCATACTGAGTTCCGGAAATATTCCGTCCGTTCCCTCTCTCCAGTTCCCTTCATCTTTCCTGCTTGCCCTTTCCAAACTCCTTTTCTCTTGCCTCTCAGTTGTTGACCCTTAATCTCTCTTGCGCTTCAACGCTTTGAATTCGTTTTTGGATCCTTGCTCCATCCCGTATGCTTTTGATCTGGTTGCGCCATTTAGACCATTATTTTCTCTCTTTCGCTCTAGTGTATTTTTATATCAAGTCCCTTCCTCAGGTCATATATCTCAAGCCTTCAGCATTATCATGCATTAACTCAGCCCAGCACATTGATCTCTACAGGCAAAGCCGCCAACTAACGAAACCAAATATGCCGGATACCGCACCAGCTGAACTCTTACCTACCTACATTTCACATGAGCTCCCAGTACCCCAATTATGCCGACGGGGGGAACCTGTAGGTCAAAGTTGATATGACCGTGAGCGTAGTATCGGACGGTTGATGATATCACTGCCTTCCGAGTGGCAACCCCTCTTTCGATTTCCAAACACAAGCTTGAATATCGATAGCGACCCATTCTTTGATGCTAGCCGATCGCTTTCGATGCTTTTTGAATCCAATCTGATCACGATGCATTTGACTGGATGTAAAGTGCATGTCTTTGTGGGTTGTACTTGGTGTACAATCTGTTAGTCGAGCACGTCGTCCCCTCACTTCGCAATGAACCCGATTCCACGTTCACTGCCCATTCGCATCCTCTCCTCACTCTCACCTTCTACACCTTTTCCCGACTTGAGTTCGTTTGTTGTACGCTGGAGCCTGAAGGGTGGGTCGACCTCCCTTCATAACCACCCGTCTGCAATATCCAACCGACTTCCCCTGATTCTCACATGCGATCCATCAATCCAAGAGCTCTAAGATAAACGAAACTTCACCAAAAGTTCCGCCTTGTGTCTACTTACGGTAATTTCGCTTGTCGCATGATCGTCGAGCCCACCCGGTACTAACAGCTTAGAGATTCTAGGGCACCATCTGGCCTTCTGAGTCGAAGCAGACTGTCGACGCCTTGAGACAAACCGTCAATGACCTTCACGATTTTGTGCGAACACAAGCGCAACCGCTCTGAAAGATGCCTACGTGGAGTTCCTCCGGTACGCTATGATCCGAGAATCACTCTGCAAACATCATACCAATGCCTCACCTTCAGTGTTTTAGAAGGCGTCTATATGAGGATGGAAGACGCATCAGAGGATTACGGAAGGGGGAAACGAGGATTCTTTGGTACAGATTCAACCCGGACGATCACCGTAACAACCCCCCATATTCGACCTGCAGGTAAGAGTCACCACGTGCTTATCCTCCACTCTTGTCGTGAGCTCTATAATCGCTTACTTTATTCTCTATTTTACATGGAAAACGGGCCACCCTATTCGTCTTTGCTGCTCAAGTTCGGGAAGTCGAGCGAGCGTTGACAAAGAACGACGGACCTGGCTCAGCTCAAGCCAATGTATTTTTTGAGACACTCGAGTTAAATGTAATGCGAAGGAGACTTGAAGGGAGTTTAATGCGTAAGTTAGGAGGGGTCGAACGCGCGGACAAGGTTTTCGAACAACGCTGTATGGGTTGACGTGAACAGAGAACCCGACACCTCCTTAGCGGCAAAATCTGGCATCCTAAACGCCTTGTAGACCCTGTTTACAAAATTCAGTATTCGGTACTCGTGACTGTCCATTCTTTCCCGAAAAAAGGCTTAGAGAGGCTTCGGTGGAGGACTTGAGCTCCAAGTTGAGCAGGAACCGCCAATACGCCATCTCCTTCCTAATGCTGTCTCCGCAGTAGAGAGCCAGGTTCAAACGACTGATTTATCACCCGAGAAGCCTTGCAGTCTCGCGATATGAGTACCATGCTGTATGCTTACGACGTTATAATGATAATATAATCCTACAACCGGGCGTGAGGACGAACGCTCAAACCTTACATCCTAGGCCTTAAAGGCACCCTCGGCTAAGCTCCTCAGGCGGAAATAAAGAAGACATATAATTTCATCTCTGTTATCGACTTTTATGGCGCAAGGGAGACGTGTGGCAGTGCTTTCAGGGCAAAGAAGACCGGTAAGGAAGGCTGGCATACCGCCATATGCGCATGAGGTCGGAAGTCTTGGCATCTATTCCTCTAATTAGATCATAGTTCTGCGCGTCCGTATTGCACGACAATAAATTAGGTAATTGTTCACAGGAACCCGGGGTTGGGGCTCCTTGTTGTGAGCATTGCCTAGGGTCTTGAGAACGTTACCCAAGCGCGCGTTACAATTCCTGCATGACGAATGTATCAGGCCGTATACAGCTGCTAACGAGCTTCAAAATCTCAATCTAGTTTGACTTTCACCTGAAACCTGTGCCCCTCATCCGATAAAATGTCGTTAAGGAAAGAAACGAGGGTTCATCGGAATCCCTGAGCTGTAGGACTTGCGCGGAGGAGGCAAGTTTGCCTTCTGCACATCCAAGGTCTAGGCCGGGAGTTTTTGAATTGAATATTCTGTGACAGGGGCCATCATACATGCTCATACTTGGTGGTCTTGAAACAAGCGGACCTTACCACGCTGGACTATGAGTCGAAACACTCAAAGGATGAAGCTGTGAAGAAGTCAATCGATTCGCGGTATTTACACAGGATTCCTCCGAGACGCATGGTTTGGCTCCATACCTCTAGTACCAGGACTCATTTATCACTTCCATCAGCACGCTATGGTGCTATTTATACCAGTAATACCTACTGATAAGAACCCTTCCTCTGGGTGGCCAGTCCTTAATCATGGACACCAAGTCTGGCCCTACCGATGTCGATATTTCAGAAGGAGTTGTATTCGATCCATTGAAGTAATCCACCGGGACATAGCCTCTTCAAGCTTTCAATGTTCCAGGGGCCGCAAGTAATGACGTGCGGGCTCTTCATCGGAACCGTTGACAAGCACAGATTGGGAGTCGACTCGGTGCATCCCAAGCGAAGTAGCACCTCACAGAGGTTTATAGAACTGAATTCAGTGGAGAAACTCGCATTCTTCTGCGTTATAATGAATTTTGGCGGCTAATGAGTTATGAAAGAGGGGAGGGGAGCGCTCAGCCGCCTGGTGTTCCTACGATCTATCGCTATTTCCGCGCCATGTCGCCCGTACAAAAGGTACTTCCAGAGCACTAATATTGTCTTTGACTGTTATGGGCCTGTTATGGGAAGTTATGGATAGGTTGGGAGGGAAAACCTTTTCGGGATATATATTATTAACAGCGGTGGCGATTTAGAAGCCTCCTTGGCTCAGTGGCTAGAGCGTGTCTTTCCTATGACGCTTGTGGGTTCGACCCCCCAAAGCTAGGAGCAGGACGAGGTCGTGGGTTCGACCCCCGCAGGAGGTTTATTTTATTACTATAGTTGATCTCTTTTAGTTTGGGGGGCGTTCGAACGGTCGCGGGGGGGCTCGGAATCGCTTTTAGCCCCTCAAACCCGCTTTTATCCCCCCAAACCCGCTAGCAGGCCGTCGTTTTGCCCCCAGTCCCATCATAATTTTGACGCAATATCATAGATTCATGTGTATGTTGCGTTGGTATTGTTCCAAGTTCGGTAGCGGAGCGTATTCACTATTTAATAACGGCCGGCCGGCCCACCCTTCCCATTGCCCAGCGCTCTTTCATCGGCAGAAATCGAATAGGTTCTCCACCAGAAAGTCCAGTCTAAAATGAACCATGTTTCCCATCACAAGCTCCTCGAGCATGAAGTCCTAGCATCCTTATTCCCTTCCACGGAATTTGGGGAGGGGGCGCCGAGAGTCTTGCCAAGCCAATGATCTATCCTTAAGCCTGAGTAGTCCAAGGATCGCACGAGTGGACCCCCAAGCAATCAAGTCCCAGCAGTACTTAGCTTCACCCGAAAGCCAAATTGATGGACTTGAAAGTGTTTAACAGCGCACCGGTGTACTGGTAGAGTCTGCCCATTACAAAGCCCGAGTATTTCAAGCGGCCAAGCGGACCCATACATGTAACCAGAAGTAACAAGTGAAACAGCACAGCAATCAAAGGTCGTCTAAGTGGTCTTGAGCTGACCCTGGATGGTACAAGGCTCCCTTGGGTTTCTCCGGTCAGTTCATTCGGAGCGAACGCCCTACCTCGTCAACCCGGGAGAGGATCATTTCTCTCGTTTGATTCTCTTCGCGTCTGAAGGTTCTGTTATGAATGAATGACGTCCAGTAAAAAGCGTACCGATAGGCCATGAAGGTTGTTACCCCGGACAGAGTCTCGCTTTACCGCCTGCCAGTGTCTGTAATGACGGCAAAGACAGGTCATAGACGACAAACGGCGCACCGAGTTCAACTCTGTTTCAACCTTTCAATAACCATAGTCCGCACTCGCGCCGTCATGCCTTGGGAGAGTGGGTTGAGTCAATTCGTATCACAGGGGGATAGGCCGGACCACTGTGAGACAAATGACCTCGTGGCGCTTCCTCGTAGATGAATCGAAGCTACTGAGCTCCCCGTTAATTGCTTCAGGATGGTTTCACGCCTTGCTTGTGTTATTGCCGCTTCCGTCGAACTAAGCCACCATGAATTGAAATTGTTATTGATACAGCGAAAATCACACACCCCGGAAAGCGAAGCCACTACAGCCTGCTAGCCGGAACTCTAGGGTTGGAGCCAAAATCCTAGACGCACGACGGAGCATTTACAGTGTCAGGCTCCGAGAAGGTTTTTTACTGGAGGGCGTCTGCTCCGACACCGACCTCTTGGTAGAAAAGAACTTGCGGATCCTTGTTTGCCATCACACATCTGGTCAGCCACAAACTCCTGAGTCCTGAATAATGGCGAATGTAACAAGCTCACCCCATCACGACATTCCGCGCCGACCTTCTGCAGCTCATTGAAAACTTCCGTTGATGAGTGGCTGCAGAGAAGGGCGCGAATGAGTCAATCAACACGGGCTTGCGTGTCGGTTTGCCGGCGAGGTCAAACCACACTTACGGGCCTAATGCGGCGGCACTTTGGTATCTGATACAAAGTAGAGTTGCAGTCACGTGTCAGCATTGAGAGAAGACAAGTTTCGAAAAAGGACGACGGACTCTTCGTATAGCAGGATTTCGTCTCCGAAGCGAGCGAGGCGGAACGCAATGCCCTCTGGTTCGGCATCCGACTCGACGCTGTCCTTGACCTTGAGCAAAGCTTGCACGAGTTCGTCTCCTCGACCTGGCTTGGCTTTCATCTGGTTTACGTAGCACCGCGTTTTACGCGAATCAGCGTCTGTGATTTGACTACCGAGAGATAGGCGCTCCTACCCGGACGTGGACGATGATCTTGCCGCTGATAGCATCGGGAGAAGAAGACATGGTGTGAGATGTAAGGTGGCGAGTGGTGAGGTGCGAGATGGAAGATGCTATCGCAAAAAAACAGAGGGCAAGGCTCCTTTTTTATAGGCCACGGGAATAGGCAGGTGTAACCCTGAGTATGGCAAAGGATTCGTGGGAGAACTGATTTTCCATGATCGACCGAACCTTGAGGCTTTTCAATAACAGGTCAGACTTGTGTAACATGGAGGCACTGCGAGGGAGACAAGGTGGCCGCAACAGCCGCCACCCGATATGACGTGAGGAAGCTCATCGGTAAATCGGACCTTACTCCGCTGAGGGGCGGATCCCATACGGTAGTAAGCCCCGGTGCACCGTAGCGCTGCGGCCGTTCTAAGCGACGCGGACAGGTCCCGCGCCCGACAAGAAAGTCAAATGGGGAGCGCTGACACAAGCTTCCCCCAAAGCGACTCGTTCCGGTTGGCCCCAAGAGTTGCAGCGGCATAGTGTGATCGCACGGAGTCTCACTGAATATCAGCACCATATAGCTCTTTTCACTTTCAAAGTACGACCGGAATCAGTTCGCTGGGGTCTCGGGGGAAGACGGTCCAGGTGTGGTCGAGGCAGATATGGTATTTCTGGCTTGGTAGGTCACGTGGTCGGCTTTTTCTTTAGACTGAGGCCCCGATTCTCACTCGCCTCGAGACCTTCGTCTTTTCCTTGATCCCTGTTCCCTTCGACCGTGTTGACAACCTCGCAACATCTTGGACAACCCACATCCACCGTACAGCTGCGCAACTACCTCCAAGCCTAGTCGCAATCGTTCGCCATCGACAGGGCCAGCCAAATCCTCAAT